TCCTCCTCCTCCTCCACCTCCTCCCCCTTTCCTCGTCATCCTCCTCCTCCTTTTCGTCCTCCTCCTCCTCCTCATCCTCCTCCGCCTCCTCCACATCCTCCTTCTCCTCTTCCTCCTACTCCTCATCCTCCTCCGCCTCCTCCTCCTCCGCCTCCTTCTCCTCCTCCTCTCCTCCTCCTCCTTTCCTCGTCCTCCTCCTCCTCTTCCTCCTCCTTCTTCTCCTCCTCCTCCTCCTCATCCTCCTCCGCCTCCCCACATCCCCTCCTCCTCCTCCCCTCCTCCCTCCTCCTCCTCCTCCTCCTCCTCCCTCCTCCTCCTCCTCCTACTCCTCCTACTCCTCACCTCCCTCCGCCTCCTCCTCCTCCACCTCCTGCTCCTAATTATTGTTCTCCGCCTCCTCCTCCTCCTCCTCCTCCTCCTCCTCCTCCTCCCCCTCGCCATCCTATGCATTCCCCCTCACTTATCAACCTCCTGCCTTTTCTGCCCATGCACCTCCTCTGGCTCCGGGCGGGCCAGGGCAAATCGGTTTTCTTCGGCGCCACTGCGACGACGGGCGGCATGGGCGCGTTCTCCGATGGCCAGTTCGCGAAGCCGTTGGGGAAGACCCGCTGGCGAGGCCGTAGGGACAACCACGCAAGCCGCTGAAGGCCAGTGGCAACCAAGTTGGGAGTCGAGCTCCCAATAAATATGCGATCTTTTCCGAGCGCGAGCTGGAGACGCCCCCGCGATCCACTCCGGGACGAAGCTCCCGATCGTCACTTCCGCCAGATTCAAGCCTCAAGAGCCCCAGAGCGACGACACTTACAGGAATCGGATGACCCGTTCGGAGTACTAACTTGAGCTGCGGGCCCCACAGGGAGGGACTCCCGCCTGAGATTCCCCGCGATTCACTCACAGACGAGACTCCCACTTGGTAGTTCCTCCATATTCAGGCCTCAGGAGCCCAAAAATGAGACGGATATAAGCTCGTGGACGGCCCGCCTGGGTTACTAACATGAGCTGCGGGCCCCATAGGGAAGGGGTTCCCGCCTCAGACTGCCTAGCAATCACTCACAGACGGGACTCCCGCGGGATACTTCCCCCAAATCAAATTCAGACCTCAGGAACACGAAAGCGACGACTGTTACAAATCTGTGGATGACCCTCTCGCATTACTAACGTGAGCTGCGGGCCCCCATAAGGAGTGGGCTCCCGCCAGAGACTTCCTCGCAATTCACTCACAGACGAAGCTTTCGATATAGATTTTCCCCTGATTCAGACCTCAGGAACCCAACAATGACGACAAATACAAGTTTTCTAACGACCAGCTCGGATTACGAACATGCGCTGCGGGCCCCATATGGAGGGGGCTCCCGCCTGAGACTTCCGCGCAAACCACTCACAGACGAGGCTCCCGCTTGGTAGTTCCTCCATATTCAAGCCTGAGGAGCCCAAAAGTGACGAATGAGCTGCTGGCCCCACGGAAGGGGGGGGGTCCCGCCTGAGATTTCCTTGCAATTCACTCACACACGAGGCTCCCGCGTGATATATCTTCCATATTCAGGCCTCAGGAGCCCAACAGTGACGATTGATACAAGTCTTTGGATGACCCGCTCGGGTTACTAACATGCATGATCTGCGGGCCCTGAAGGAGGGGGGCTCCCGCCTGAATTTTCTGTGCGATTCACTCACGGACTAAGCTCCCGCTTGATACGTCCTCCAGATCAAGTCCTGGGGAACCAAAAAATGACGACAAATACAAATGTTTGGATGACCCGCTCGGATTACCAACATGCGCTGCGGGCCCCATAGAGAGGGGGCTCCCGCCTGAGATCCCTCGCAACTCACTCGCAAACGAAATTCCTCCTTCAGCTTTCCCCCAGATTCAAGCCTCAGGAGCCACAAAGGACGACGGTTACAAATTGTTGGGCGACCCGCTTGGGTTGCTAACGTGAGCTGCGGGCCCCATAAGGAGGGGGCTCCCGCCTGATATTCCTCGCAATTCACTCACAGACGGGGCTCCCGCTTGATACTCCCCCTATATTCAGGCCTCAGGAACACAAAAGAGACGACTGTTACAAGTCGTTGGGTGACCCGCTCGGATTACTAACAGAAGGTGCGGGCCCCATAAGGAGGAGGGCTCCCGCCTGAGACTTCCTCGCAATTCACTCACGGACAAAGCTTCCGCTTTATATGTCCTCCAGATTCAGACCTCAGGAGCCCAACAGTGACGACAATTACAGGTTGTTGAACGACCCGCTCGGATTACTAACATGAGCTGCGGGCCCTATAGGAAGGGGACTCCCGCCCGAGACATCATCGCAATTCACTCACAGACGAGGCTCCCGCTCGAGACTTCCTCAAAATTAGAGTGTGTCTGTGTGTGCGCGAGAGAGAGAGTGAATGGAGGAAGGCTTGCAATGCTGATGATGCTGATGATGATGATGATGCTTGTTGTGGTGATGATGATGAACGATGACCGATGATCATGATGGGACGGTGATAGTGATGCTGGTGACGATGGTGGTGCGACGATGATGGTGATGATGATGACGATGAGGATGAGGATGAGGATGAGGATGAGGATGAGGATGAGGATGAGGATGAGAAGTGGTGGGTGATAGTGATGAATGACTGAGCCAGTGAGTTATGAGTGAATGAACGAGTACATATCATGATGCTCATGCTGATGCAGATGCTGATACTAATGATGAGGAGGATTACGAACATGGTGGGATGGTGACAGTGATGATGATGATGATGACGATGATGACGATGGTGGTGTGATGATGATAGTGGTGATGATGGTGATGGTAATGATGATGAGTGCGAATGTGATGATTAAGACAGGGGGGGGTGGGAGGACTGCGCGGGGTGTCCAGAGAAAACAAGAACCCACTTAGGATGTGGGGGGGGAAGCGATACGGGGTGAAGAACTTGCATTTCGATGCTCATTTCAATCGCAACTGGATGTGCATGTCGATGGGCATGCCGATGTGCACACCAATGCATGTTGTTGCATGGTCTTGTCGATGGGCACTTCGAATTGCATTCCGATTGTAGCTGGTTGTTCATGTCGACGTGCATTCCGGTGAGCGTTTCGATCTGCCTCTAGATGTTCGTTTCGCCTGCAAGTGAACGTGCCTGTCGACGCGCACTTCGGCTGCAGTTGGAAGTAACTGTCGATGTGCATGCCGATGTGTATTTCGATATGCATGTCCAGTGCGGCTTGATATGTATGTCGATGTGAGTTCCGACGCGCATGCCGATGGACGTTTATGTTTGCAGGTCGATATTCACTGCGACCCGAATTCAGATTGCAATTGGATGTGCAATCGGATGTGTATTATGATGTGCATATCGATGTGCATCTCAGTGACTGTGCTGATTGCATGTGAATGTGTAGTTCGGCGCGCACTCCAGTTGCAATTGGAAGCTAAATTCGATGTGAATGTCGACGTGTCATTCGATATACATGTCGATTGCAGGTTGGTATATCGATGTGCAACTCCATGTGCGGTTATATGTGGGATTCGATCGCAATTGGACATTCGTATCGAGTTGCACTTCAATGTGGACTTCTATGTGCAGTTCGATATGCGGCTCGATGTGCACTTCGACGTGCGTGTCGAGCTTCAGTTCGGTTCGCATATCGTTTGCAATTTGAATCTGGAATTCGATGTATATTCCCACGGGACAATCACGGGACACCCGCGGGATGACCCGCGGGACAAACCCTGGAAAACCCAGGGGACAACCCACTGGGCAATCTCGGGACAGCCCATTGAAGAATTGATTACGGTACAACCCACAAAGTAATCCACGGGACAAAAAAGGAACAACCACGGGACAACCGAAGAACAAACCACAGGACAACCCACGAGACAACCCCAGGACAACTCCAGGGCAGCCCACGACACATTCACGTGGCAGCTCCCGGGGACAGCCACGGGACAGTCCACGGGGCCACCCACGGGGTAATCACGGGGCAACTCCGACTTGTTCGGCCCCCCGCGAGAGTGGAAACCAACACTTGTGCCCGACTTCGCCTTAGTCTTGGCCGACACCATCGCCCTCGCGCAGCTTCGCCTCGCCCGCACGCACGACACGAACCGAATCCGAAACAAATTTCCTGGCTGGGGTCGCTTCGTTCTCAGCCGTCGATCGAGGCCAGGATGCGGAGCGGCGGGCCCGCCTCAGAGAGGGGGGGGGCAGCAACGGCAGGAAGAGGAGTGTGTGTGTGTGTGTGCGACTTCCCCGAGTGGCGCGACGCAGCTCATCGAGGTCACTCGGAGCACCACGGGGTGGCGCTTGGGTCAATTTGGAGCCAGGCCGACGCGTGGGCCAATTACCTCTTACGCCACCCACGGACCACGTGGTTGCGGGAGATCATGCTCCTCAGAGTTCTCCTGCGGTGCGAGGGCGACCGCGTGGCCCTCTCACAGGCGCTGGCTGGTGCCAGGGTGCTGGCCCCGCGGAAGCTCGCCTCGCCTGCGCTTGGCCTGGGAGCTGGCAGGCCCACCCTCAAAGCCTGGAAGATCTTCTTAGCCCTGCGGCGCGAGAAGGCCCCCCATCTGCCACAAAACACGAACTGGCCATCGCTCGGACGTCCATTTCCTGTGTTTTGTTTGGTTTCGTGCGATCAAGGATGCTCCTCGATGGCCCTCGCCGAAAGAAAAATGCACACGTCCGAGCGATGCCAAGCGAAATCCAGCACGCAAGAGCACACGACGGCGCCACGGCAGCTGCCGAGGGGCCGCCCCGCGGGGCGGGCGGACCTCGGGCACCCCTCGAGGGCGCCCGTCGGCGGGGCGTCCCCGAGGAGGGCCTCCTTGCCCTGCAGGGCGTGGGCGTGCCCTTTGCAGCCCGAGCTCTGGCGCCGCCAAGGCAGTCTTCCCCCAGAGGACGGAGCGAGGGGAGGTCCCAGGAGGAGGTCTCCAACCCGAGCCCGACGACTCTCCCGCGCCCCCCCCCTTCCTCCCCCTCCTCCCCCTCCTCCTCCTCCTCCTCCTCCTCCTCCTCCTCCTCCTCCTCCTCCTCCTCCTCCTCCTCCTCCTCCTCCTCCTCCTCCTCCTCCTCCTCCTCCTCCTCCCTCCTCCCTCCTCCTCCTCCCTCCTCCTCCTCCTCCTCCTCCTCCTCCTCCTCCTCCTCCTCCTCCCCTCCTCCTCCTCCCTCCTCCTCCCCCTCCCCCTCCTCCTCCTCCTCCTCCTCCTCCTCCTCCTCCTCCTCCCTCCTCCTCCTCCTCCTCCTCCTCCTCCTCCTCCTCCTCCTCCTCCTCCTCCTCCTCCCTCCTCCTCTCCTCCTCCTCCTCCTCCTCCCTCCTCCTCCTCCTCCTCCTCCTCCTCCTCCTCCTCCTCCTGACGGCAAGGTGTCTGTAGAGGTGCCAGCGGGCATGGCCGTGCTGGCCACAAAACTGCACATGCTGCAGGCAACATCTGAACGCTCCTGCCAGACGTTCGTTGGCCAGGCCGGGGGGTCATCCAACGCAGCTCCAGCTTTAGCCTCGTGGTCGGCCCGGGCGTTCCCGAGGGCGTCGGGCCTCTCAAGGCCCTCAAGGGGGCCGCGGGGTCACGGTCCGAGTGGGCCTTGACTTTCACCATATCGAGTGCCCCCGGATCCGAAAAGGAGCCATGAACGAGGGCCCAAACCAGCATCCAAAGGTCCGCGTGGGGCCTGCGGCGCCTGGTGCACCGGGCCTCCCCACGCTGGAACCCCTACCACACTGCAGAATTGTCGACCCCTACTCGGAGCGGGGGACAGCCGTGGTGCAAAACCTGGAGCATGCCCATGAGCTCGCCCCAGGGGCGCTTTGCCTGGAAACCTAAGCCCTACCAGGGTGCCGCTACCTGCCTTCAAGACCCGCCCGTCCTCGCTCGGAAACGGAAGCCCCCGCCTAAGACTTTTGCACCCTGGGAGGCCAATGCCAGAGCCATCAGAATGCGCATACAGTTCTGGCTCGGCCGCAAGAAACCCAACCCTGAGAACCTGTGCTCGAGGTGCACCTGAGGGGAAACCCGGAGCACCCTGAACGCAGCAGCTCCCTCCACGGCTGCGGGAAGCCACCGCGCAGCGCGAGGAGCGACGAGACCCAGGAATACCCGGCCGAAAAGCAGATGGCTCCTTGAGGCGCGTTCCCACTGTACCCCGAAATGGGGGGGTCGTCGCTGAGTTCGTTTTTTTTTTGAAGCGGACAGGACCGATATCCTCTGCTGTCAGCTCTGGATGCAAGCCCAACCGGCGTAAAAACTGTTAAAGAGTCTTCCGCCTGAGCATCACAGAAGCGGCCATTAAGGAAAAAGCTGGTCTTAAGTAACATTTCCTCGGCGCGCGCCTGAGGGAAACAAATGCCGGTCTCGAGTCGTCGCTGAGTTCGTGATGGAGGACGTCGTGGTGCTCTTGCACCTGCAGGGGACGGGTCATCGACGGGGCGGGGGCCGTCGGGCCACGCGCGACGAGGCGGGCCATCGGAGGAGACCCCTTCGCCCTCTCTGCACCGTCGCCAGGGCGCTTCCCCTCGCCCGCCTCAGCACGAGCGGCGTCGAGCCCAAAGGCCGATGCAGAAGCGGTGGTGCCGTGTGCCCCGCGGGGCCCGGCAGAGCCGGCACTCGCGCAGGTCGCCGTGCCCAGCCTTCTTTTTTTATCCTGGGTCCGGAACGGTTCACAAACAAGCGCAGTGATGGCCTGCTGACGGCCTGGGTTGCTACTGCGCTGGCGGACGGTGACGCGGACCGGTTCAAGAGAAAGCCGAACAGCATCGAGGCCCCTCTCCGCAGTCCAGGACGTGGGCTCCAGGACCTCCGGTCTAGTGGCCACCAAAGTCTTTACGCTCATCGGGGCAAGCCTCCTGAGGTCTAGGAGGGCCCCAGAATGAGCGAGAAATATGGTACGCTGGCCAGGCCCACCCTAAACGCTGCAAAGCGGCGAGCACAGCCGCACACTTGGCGCCATCGATTCGCGAGGGGCTTGGCGGCCAGCTTCTTACTAGCCTGCGCCCAGCCTGCTTCGAGGTCTGCTAGGGCCTCGTCATCGAAAACGGCAGAGGCCCACTGGAAAAGGGGCTTAGTACTTGCGTCGACGGTGGCATCGACGAGACGCAGCCACAGCCGAAGGGTCTTGTCCTTCCCGATTCTTGCGCCCCTGAGACTACCCGCCACCAGCTGTCTGGTGCAGTTGAGCTTGACTGGGGACCATGCCTAGACAAGCGGAGCCATCAGTGAGTGAGGGGATGAGACCGCACCGAACGAGTTTACCCACTCTCGCGCCCCTTGCTTGGCGTAGGCGGTAATCTTGCGCCGGCGCTTGTAGGCAACTTGCTCTGTCCCCCGCACACGCCCTCGCACTCGCACATGCTCAATACGCTTTTTGCGTTCGAGGCCGAGGCGGTCCGCCCAGTGCGGGCTGCGGCCAGGACGGATCCCTTGCCAGCAGGGCCTTTGGGGGCCAAATTTCCTGACATCTTCGCTGCCGTGCTGTGCGGCGCGCTAGAAGGCTCAATTCGGCCACCCGCTGACCGACGGCGTGAAACAGGAATGCCGTCACTCTCGATCTGCGTGGTATAGGAGCCGATGGCGTGCCGCTGGAGGCTCAGGTCGTCGACGTAGAGCGTAACGAAGGTATTGGGCCAGCGCGCCGTCAGGCGGGAGGAGGAGAGGAGGAGGAGGAGGAGGAGAGGAGGAGGAGGAGGAAGAAGAGGACAAAGAGGCGGAGGTCGACGGCGACGATGAGGCGATAAGGAGAACGACGGAAGACCACGACGCTGACAAGGAAGGGGAGGGGAGGGGAAAAGCAGGAGGAAGGAAGCGAGGAGGAGCAGGAGGGGCCTGAGGAGCTGAGGAGAAGGAGAAGGCGGACGGCGACGAAACCGAAGTCGAGGACGAGGATATGCATAGGGATGACGAGGGCTAGGAGAAGAAGGAGAGGAGGAGTAGAAGAAAGAGGAGGGAGGACGAGGATGAGGGTCAGCAGCGGCAGTGAGGAGGAGGAGGATGGAGAAGGTTAGAGTGAGCAGGGAGGAGAAATGGTTGAAGAAGGAGGGAACAGGGAGGAGGGGGAGAGAGGAGGCGCGAAAAGGACAGAGGGAAAACAGGTAGAGGGGAGCGGGGACGACAACAGACGACGGAGGCGGGAAGAGGGAGGAGAGAGGAGGGAGGGCGGAAAAGAGGGCACCCAGCGCAGGAGTGAGAAGAGGGGGGAGGAGCGGCAGTAGGACGAAGGCGAGGGCGCAGACGAAGGCGCGCACGCCCACCCCCCCCCCGGGATCCTGGACGTAGAAGACCGTGAAACCGTTGCAGTTCCGCACGCGGAACTGGTACTCGTCGAGGGTGAACACCTCCAAGGCGCCAAGAGGGGGAGGTAAAAGTGAAAGGGCTCTCCCTCCGCCTCTTCCTCGCCGTCACCACCACCATCAACCTGCGCATGGTCATCGCACTCCACTACCACCACCCCTCGTCACCATCCTTCCCTTGCTCTTCTTCTTCGTCATCATCAGCATGACCATCCTTCTGAGCTTCCCACTCATCCTTGTCATGCTCACCGCGGCCATCATGGTCATCACCTTCATTAGCATCATCATCATCATCATCACCATCAGCAGCAGCATCATCATCGTCATCGTCATGGTCATCGTCATCATCATCACCGTCACCATCGGCATCATAATCCTCATCATCATCATCACCATCATCATCATCATCATCATCATGATCACAACCGCCACCACCACCGCCATCCTCATCATCACCATCATCATCATCAGCAGTATCATCAACCTCATCATCAGCATCAGCATCATCGTCATCATCATCAGCATCATCATCGACTTCATCGTCACCATCAGCATCACCCCCATCATCATATCATCAGCATCATCAACATCATCATCATCATCGCCACCCCCGTAAAGCTCATCAGCAAACTCATCTTCATCGTGGACACCATCATCAGCCCTAGCATCACATCACATCATCAGCAGCAGCAGCATCATCATCACCATCGTCGTCATCATCATCAGCAGCATCATCAGCAGCATCAGCAGCAGCAGTAGCAACAGCATCGCATTCATCTTCTTTTTCAGCATCATCAGCAGCAGCAGCATCATCATCATCCTCGACTTCATCGTCATCATCACCACGATCAGCATCGGCATCAGCATCATCAGCATCATCGTCATCGTCATCGTCATCAGCATCAGCATCGCAATCTTCATCATCATCATCATCATCATCATCATCATCATCATCATCATCATCATCATCATCATCACCATCACCATCATCGTCATCACAATCAGCATCGTCATCGTCATCATCGTCGTCATCATCACCATCGTCGTCGTCAGCATCATCATCATCATCATCAGCAGCAGCAACAGCATCATCATTGGTATCATCATCATCATCATCAGCAGCAGCAGCAGCATCATCATCATCCGCATCAGCATAATCATCATCAGCAGCAACATCATTAACAAAACAATCATCAGCTTCAGCCCCGCTTTCAGTATCGCCATCACAGACGGCATCATCACCTTCAGTAGTACCATAGTCGTCAGAATCACCAGCATCATCAACTACAGCACCAGTACCATCAGCAGTAGCATCCTGATCGTCCTCGTCATCCAGGAGGGGGGATGGGGATAGGAAGGGAAGGGTGATCTAGCACACTCGATTCTACGACACGCGGGTAGCTGCTAGGCTGGCCGAACCTCAACCAAAATCACCCCAGATCAGGGAGGAATGCGGCACTTCGGAGGCAATCCCCTCCCGAGGCGCGAAAGCAGCCCACGCCCTGCGTTGGAGGGCGCATGACACGATTATATGCCAGCACGCGCGGCGGCCTCACGGTACAGAACGCCACCGGCCTGACGGTAGAGAACGCATCGCAGCACAGCGAGATGGTGAGAGGGATGACAGAGGTCGGCCAGGGGGTGACCCACTGCGCCTCCACAGGCCTGCATCGGACCCACATCATCCAGGGCGGGTTCGGGGTCCCCGTTCCTGCAACCCCTCTGCGGGGCAACAGTGGAATTCGCTGCTGGAGAATGTGGCGAACGGAGTAGGCCGAAACTCGCACAAGTGGCATTTCAACATGAGGCTCGTGGCACAGACAGGGCAATGCAGGACGGCCGCTCGCGTCTGATGCTCGTGTGCCGCATCCCTGAGACGGCACATGCGCTCTGCCAAACCAGCACTCTGATGATTCACACGGCGGGGCACCTTCTCTCCCCTCCCTCGATCAGAACAAGATCCGCCACCGTGCTTCCTGGCACGGTGAGGCGCGGAAGAACGCCAAGGGCTGCCTGGTAGAGCTTTTTCCGAATTCAAACAAGGCCCCCCCGCCCTCTGCCGGCAGACTGCCGCATGCACCGCCCCTCCTTTCCGAAGCCACTTCCCTCGTGCCCGCTCGAGGATGGTGCACTTCCAGCACGGCAGCTAACGTCTCATCCCTCAATCCGCGCGTGCCCGCTCGAGGATGGTGCACTTCCCGCATGGCGGCTACTGCCTAATCCACCATTCCACGCGTGCCCGCTCGAGGATCGAGCACTTCCGGCATGGCAGCTAGTGCCTGAACCATCATTCCATGCGCGCCCGCTCGAAGATCGCGCACTTCCCGCATGGCAGCGAACGCTTGAACTTTCATTCCATGCGCGCCCGCTAAAAGGATTGCGCACTTCCCGCATGGCTGCTATCTCCTAGACCTCTCATCCCACGCGCACCCTATCGAGAAGAGGATCGTGCACTTCCCGCATTCTTATGCGCTGCCCCCAAGCGCTCCAGGGCTTCCAAGAGCTTCCGAGCTTCCAAGCTTCCAAGAGTTTCCAAGACAGCCCGCGCAGACAACCAAGGGCACCAACACGGCCGAAGATGACTCCAAGAGGGCCCAAAAGGGCCACAAGACGACCTCCAACAGGGTCAGGAGAAGCCAAAAGCGAAATGTCGGACTGCAAGCCTCCTCGTGGCGGCCAGGGGTAACTTGATGCTGGCAGGATCTGTCGACGGCCGTCTTTCCCCAGAGGCGGCGGAGGGCATCAAGGCCAAGGAGGTAGAGGGGGCCTCCAGCAGACACAAGTGTGCCGTGACGGCGGTCCGTGGCAGCCGACCCAGGGAGTGTAGGCCTAGTGCCCTGACTTTATAGTCCTCGCCGCATCGGGGGGTGCGGTCACGACTCCTACTGGGAAGGCTGTCAGTGGGTGCATCCTGATCGGCACACCTCGCGGACTTGAGTTCCGCGAGCAAGGGAAGGCTTGTGAGGGGTGTCTGGCCTCCCTGGCAGTGCTCCCGAATACTGCCACGCGCACAAATTCGCCCTGCGGCGGATGGCTAAGCCAACCGCCGGGAGTGGTCATTTTGACCTTTGCAGCTCCTGTTCCGGTTGTTGCATGATGTTCGCATTCTCGTCGTTTCGGGCTGCCGCCAGCTCAAGACGGCCCAAGAGGACTCCACGATGACCCAAGAGGCATCCTAGACGGCCCCAAGACGGCCCAAGAGGGCCTCCCGTGGGCCCCAAGACGACCTTAGAAGGCCCTTCGACGGCACAAGACGGCGCCAAGACGGCCCCACGACGGCCCCCAGACACTCACCGTACGGCCAAGAGGCTCCCAAGACGGCCCAAGAGAACCCCAAGCCGGCGTAAGAGAGCCCCCCCAAGACGGCCCCAAGGGACCCCCCAGATTGCCTCACAGGAGGCCAAGACAGCCCCAAGACGGCCCAGACGAGTTGCATCATCACCATCAGCATCAGCATCAGATTCAGCATCATCAGCATCAGCATCATCATCATCATCATCATCATCATCATCATCATCATCATCATCATCATCATCATCATCATCATCGTCATCGTCATCATCATCACCATCATCATCATCATCATCATCATCATCATCATCATCATCATCATCATCATCAGTCAGCAGCAGCATCAGCAACAACATTCGCAGAGCGCATGTCTCATCAGCATCACCATCATCAGCATCAACATCAGCATCGTTAACAGCATCATCATCACACATCGACATAGCACATCATCATAGCATCCGCATCATCATCAGCAGCACATCAGCTCCTCATCATCATCATCTCATCATCATCATCATCATCATCTCAATCATCGCCTTAGTAGCAGTATGATTATCATTACCATCATCAGCATCATCGTCATCATCGTCGTCAGCAGTGTTTCGTCATCATCATCATCATCATCATCATCATCATCATCATCATCATCATCATCATCATCATCATCATCATCATCGTCAACATCATCATCATCATCATCATCATCATCAGCATCATCATCATCATCATCAGCATCATCATCATTCTTAGCAGCACCGTCATCACCACCACCACCACCATCAACATCATCAACAAGAATGTCAGCATCACCAGCATCATCAACAGTACCAGCATCGTCATTATCATCATCCTCATCATCATCATCAGCATAGTGGCCATCATCAGCGTGACCACCACCATCATCATCGTCAACACCACCATCACCGTCGACATCACCATCATGATCATCATCGCTAGCCACATCAGAAGCATGACCAACGTCATCATCATCATAAAAGTCATCATCAGCATCATCATCTGCATCAGCATCAGAATCGTTATCGTCATGACCATCATCATCATCCCAAGCACCAGCATCATCGCCATCACCGTCGTCGTCATCATCAGCCGCATCAACACAATGACCATCATCGCCAGCATCATAACAGGTCATAAATCATCAGCAGCACCATCATCGTCATCAGCATCATCACCAGCATCATCATCCACAAGCATCATCATCAGCAGCATCACGCTCAGTGTCTTATTCAGCATCATCATCATCAGCAGCACCAGCATCATCATCATCATCATCATCAGCATCATCATCATAATCCTCATCACGGCTTTCTCAAACCTGCAGACACGAGGTATTTCACGTGACGGCCTCTCATGCCTCCTCGAACAGTCGCCACCCAGAATTATGGGCTGGCACAGTGGCGGGACCTGCCGCAGGCAACTGGATAAACTTCACGCTGCGAAGCAAGCAACCATTTCAAAACGCTGCTGGCCAAATCATCGGCCTGGTGAGTCCGCGAAACATCGACTTGAGAACTGAACTCGAGCAGCAGCAGCAAAATAATCGGCTGCAGTATTCAAATACAGCCCATCAGGCGAGAGGCAGATATTATGGCGTTGGGCCTGGTTTGGGTGTCCCAGCCCAGAACACATTCAAGGAGCCCCAATCGAGCCTGCAAGGCCTTGTGATAGATAGCCCACAGATCCAAATGCTAGACTTAGACTTGGCCTTGACAGACTTGCGAGCACCTTTGACCACC